TGTCAGATTAAATCTATACTGGACCCAACTATGCAACATCCCCACTATGCCGCGACCCCACTGTGCTGGGTTTTTTATGTTATCGTTTATTGATAAGTGAACATAAAAAATGAAATATATAAATTAATACATGTGGGTAATATATAAATCATTTTTATATAACGTTAATATAGTTTGTTTTTACAATTAAGACTAGGGTTGACACATTGTGTTTATTTATTAAGATAAGAGTAAAAAGAGCTGACAAGTATAATTTATAAATTTCTTAAAGAGTAATTTTTAAAGGTGACTATTAATTAACTAATGACTGAATTTTGTGTAATATTATATAATTAAATGACAGTATGCGTTTGATAAATATTTCTCTAGGTTATTTATTTAAAAACAATCATGTCATTTTAAGCATATGAATATAATTTATAAATAGAAGTGTTAATAATCTTAAATTAAAAGATTAAATGTAAAACCATTATTGCAGACACGAGTAGCCCTGTTATTTCATATTGCGATAGTGATGAGTGTATTACGACAATGAAAAGGCAAGTGAAATTAATAGATGGAATGATAACGATGAAGTAAAATTTTTTGTCAACATTTTTAAAAGGGACAGCTAGTATATTTTTAAAAAACATAGAAGAAAAATAATCAATTTGAATATCAAGCAATAGGCTATTTAACTCTAATTATAAATAAACCTGAAAAACGTATCTCAACACTCTCGCCTGGTAAAACTTTACAATCTTTTACTCGCTTTATGCTCTACCTCTTCCACATAAAATAATCAATCTGTAATTTATTACTCCCACTCTTATAAATTATATAATATTCTTCCTTTTTTCTAAAATAAGTATTTACCACGGCAAGATCATAGATTAAAAACTCAATAATTATTCAAAAGCTATAATTTGCAAGTATCTGCTCTTTAAAATTTAACACAATAATACAAGTACATCAAAATTCAATGTTAACACTTATATTAATAATTTACAAAAATTTTTACTTAACCTACTATTTAATGGGATGAAAATAATAGGAAACGAGTGTAGTCTAACGCAGACTAGTTTTAAGTGTCGATTTCGCGCATAGAGCTCAGCAATAATTTCTTTGAGCCTTAGCAGATGTACCAATACGTATCTATGGTAGCTATAATATTTTTAAATCGATCACTTATCTTTTCGTTAAAATCATACAGAAAAAAATTATTTTTTATATTTACTACTTTTCATAACGACGATATGTTGAATAAATTGTTCTTATTATATTCTAATAACATGTTATTTGATAATATTTAATAAATTTAGTATAATTCAATTAATTTCTGTATTAATTACATCCAATACTATTTATATGTTCTGTACTTAAACATATTGCATAGGACTGATTGATGAAATTGATAAAAATCAATGGATAAAACAGAAAAAATGAATTTTCGTTTTATCAAAATACACAGTTGGCAAATACAGAAGATATGGAATACGTTCTTTGAAATACCTAAAAAAATTAAATTGTATAGCTAAATTAAAAAATATTAAATAAGTATTCAAACAAATTATAAATAACCTCTCTAAATAGATGTACGTTTATAAGCTTTTGTGTTGTAATTTTCATTTTTGTTTTTTCTGCTTCATTTACACGCATACCCATTAAAATAAGCTGTTGATATTCAATACTCATCTCTGTCCAATTACAACAATATAATGCGAAATTTATTTTTTCTTTCTACATTGGAAAAAATATTGGATAATAAGTATTAATATTACATAACCTTTTTTTTTAATTACATAGAAAAATACTGACTTCGTCGTTTATTGTATGAAATAAATAACATGTAATTAACATTTGAAATATATTAGAAAAAGCAGAGAATATAAGTAAAAAGTTTTGAAATGACACGATGGATTGTCCCTTAGAAATATTCTGAAACATTTCAGAGAGAATAACATAAAACATTTCAAACTTAAAATAACATAATAATACAGAATTAATTAATACTATACCAAAATAAATAAAAATATTTGAGACAAAAATAGTGACGAATCTAATCCAATTTGTAAAATTGTATTTTGTTGAAAAATTGTGTAAATCTCTCGTATAAACCTTTAAAAATCACAAAAAATAAATATTATCATTTAAATGTGTTAGACGAGGATATCTTTTTATTTAATTGCTTGAAAGCATTTTTTCAAAATAACCGTTAGTTTTGATTATTGTGGTTTTTTATTAATATTTTACAATAGATTAGTTATTTTTAAAGCATAAGTGTAAAATAATCATAATAGTCAATTAAATTTTGATTCATTTTATTTATTTATATCTACGGAAATTTATTTCTAATTACATTATTTTATTATAGTATAAATTTTTTATTTTAATATACATATATTAATTATCTTAACATTGAAATGATATACAATGAATAAAAAAACTTAACCTATTTATAAATTTGATTTTATTTATAAAATTTTAGAAATAAACTCTAAAAAGCTAATGAAATACGAAAAATGTATATTATCATATTTCATGCTATCACCAACTGACATTATTATAGGAAGGATATTTATAGTATAATTTGTTAATTAAATTTTGATTGCGATGCGAAGCTGAGAAGGTATTGGTTTTACTAAGATGTGTTTATTTTTTTTTTTTTGTGTCTGTTACCACTTTTTCTCAGCTCTCACCGAACCGTTTTCTTTCAATGATACGTCAAAAGATCACTAGTCGAAGACATTACCCTCAAAAATTGAAAAAAATCCCCTCGTCCCCCGTAAATGGGGGAAAATTACAAATTTAAAAATCGCTAATTTTCGAAATTTTTTAAATTTTTTTTACTAAAAACTGCCGTAACTTTTTCAAAAATGAACATATCAATATAATTCTTTTTTTTATAGATGAATGATGTCTTTACCTATCATTTGGTATATTTTTTTTATAAATCTGACAATTAACCTGCCCACAGGGGGGGATTTAAAATTACAACTTTTTTACAAAAAATTAATTTTTTCAACTTAACTTTTGAAAGTGTTCCGGAAGATCTGACACTTTTATATATATCTTAAATTAAAGCTAATGTAATATACTTTATTATGCAAAAAAAAAATTTCGGACTTTATTTTATCTTTACAGTGAAAATAGCTACCGAATGCTATTATTGTTTGAAAATTCTCGATTTTATTTTTTACATTTTTAACTTTATAATGATATAACTTATTGAAAAGTATATGGGATCAACATAATTTTTTTATGAGAAATAATATTTTTTAATAATCCCTTTTTCATTCGACATACTTTATCTGAATCAGGATATTAACAACGAACTAGCAGATCATGTTGTTTTTGGTATAATCCACCAATTTTTTAAAATTAAACACTATCTAAAGATTTGCATCGAAGCGTTTTTTTTAATAGTGATTTTAATCACTGTCAGATATCATAATACTTGATCCAACTATGCCACGTCACCACTGTGCCGCGACCCCCTTGTGCTGGGTTTTTTTTTTATTTATATCTACCGAAGTTAATTCTAATTAAATATTTTTATTACAGTATAACTTATAAATTTTAACATACATATATTAATTATCTTAACATTGAAATGATATACAATGAATAAAAAAACTTAACCTATTTATATGTTTGAAATGTTTTTATTTATATATTTTAGAAAAACAAAAAATGTTCATTATCATATTTTATGCGATAACCAGCTGATATTGAAAGGAACATTTTTAGAATAATTAGTCGTTATATTGTTTAAACAGAATAATGATTTGTGTCTAAAACTTTGTGTTTAAAATTGATGTATTATATAAAAATAATTATTTAAATTTTATAATAGTCAAATTTATTGAATTTACCATGATATGTTTTTATTTTTTTTTGTGTATGTGTGTGTCTGTTACCACTTTTTCTCAACTCTTACCAAACTGATTTCTTTCAACGATACGTCAAAAGATCACAAAACGTATCGTATAAATTGAAAAAAGTTCCCTGATTTTCTTTAAATGGCGCAAATCCCCCAATAAATTACAATTTTTTTTACTTTATTATCTTAAAACTGCTATTACTTTTTGAAAAATAAACGATTAAACATAATTTTTTTTATATTGAAACCTTAAGTAATTTCCTTATATTTTTTATAATATTTTTTAAAAATCTGACCCTTTATCTGCTCACATGAAGGGATTAAAAATAGCAATACTCAACTTTTTCAACTTGACTTTTGAAAATGTTTCGGAAATACTGCATCCATTAAACATATGTTAATTTAAAGTTTATGTGGACGTAATATAATTAAATAAAAATTAAAAAGTAATTATTACTTTTATGGCAAACGTATATGTTAGTTGAAGGTCTTGCAATAGCTAAAAAAAAAATTGTTTGATATTTATAAATAAACTTACAGGTCTACAAGGAATTTTCATCTAAGACCAAAATATACTTTGCTTAACTCATTTTTGCGTCGATTTCAAATCAAAATCAAAGTTTAACATATGTCTTAAATTCTAACAAAATTCTTCTAATTAATATAACAAATATTTATGATTTATTATTAGGTTACGTATGAATAATCAATAAATATAGTTTAATTAAAAATTGAAAAAGTTCTAAAAAACAATTTTTTTTCCTATAATAGGGTTTTGTTTAATTTAAAAAAATTGGTGAATTATTCCAAAAGCTACATGATTTCCTATTTCCTTATTTATATCCTGATTAAGATAAAATATATCGAATGAAAGATGGATATGAATATTATTTCTCATAAAAAAATTGTATTGATCCATACACTTTTCAATAAGTTATAGCACTCGGTAGCCATTTTCACCGTGAAGACAAAATAAAGTCCAATATTTTTTTCCATGATAAATAATATTACATTAGCTTTAATTTAAGATATATTTAAAAGTGTCAGATTTACCGGAACACTTTCAAATGTTAAGTTGAAATAGTTCTACTTTCTATATGCATTTCTTAGATTTTATCCCCCCCGTTTATAGGAAAATGGTCAGATTTAAAAAAAAGTTTGTCGAATAAAAAATGTATATAAATACTTTTACTCATGAAAAAATTGTATTGAACTATACATTTTTCAAAAAGTAATAGCAAAATAAAATTAAAAATGTAAAATATAAAATCGAGAATTTTCACACTAAATTAGCATTCGGTAGCCATTTTCACTGTGAAGACAAAATAAAGTTCAAAATTTTTTTTTTCCATAATACAATATATTACATTATCTTTAATTTAAGATATACATAAAAGTGTCATATATTTTGGAATAATTTCAAAAGTTAAGTTGAAAAAGTTCATTTTTCCCGTCCTGTATGATATAAAATGATCCTTAATCCTGTGCAAATTAAGGGTCAGATTTTTAAATAAATATACCAAGTGTTAAGTAAAGACACCATGCATCTAGTAATTGAAATATTATATTGATTTGATCATTTTTGAAAACAATTGAATTGTTGCCTACTCTAGATACTATATTTATATAACAATAAATATATTTTTCTTCAATTTTTAATGTGGGGGAGTGATGAGGATTTTTGAACTTTAGACCAAACATCTGTAATTGCTTTAATATTGTTCATTATAAATTAGGTAACCAGAAAGAGATAATACATTTTTTATGTGATCCTCTACCAGATTTTTTTTTAATAACAAATTTTAAAAATAAAACAATGCAACTAACACCAAGAGTTTGGCTTCAGCTATCGTAGCGATAAGTCGTGTTATTGTTACGCACCTGTGAATCCGGTTTTCCTTATACGTATAGTACTATCGTATTTACTTGTATATCTCTAACTCACATAAGTAGTCTCGCATAATTTTTTCTTTTTAAGTTTCTGTATGCCCAATTCACCGGGTGGACCGGGCCGTCCACCTAATAACGGTTCTGGCCCCATAAAAGTAACTTTGCACAAAAATCGAAAAGACTCCGACGAATGGTCAACTGCCAGTGCGAAATGTAAGTCTAAAAAACTTCCTACCAGCCCGGTTTCTCCGAATCTACAATACCTATTAGATAATCAACCGCAACTACTCCCAGCTAACATACAATTTCAGTATAAAATTAACGAATCGGCCGATAACAATGAAACTAGTACGGCATATCTTAATGATGCCATTACTCTAACGTCAGATAGTAATTCTAATACTATGGACATCGATAATGTAATGAATAACAATAGCGACCTTGATATATATATATAACACAAATACGCCAAATAAGGTAAACAATGATTCTGAAACAGTACATTTGTCTGCCGTAAAAAAAATTACTAGTAATTCGAGTGTAGATTCTAATCTGAAATCTTTTTCAAACAATTTTAACGGGACTCCGGTAATTCTCGTTGAATCCACGGTTAGCGAACAAAGTATCGACAAATTACACCCGCTAAAAATTGGGAAACTTTTCCACAACAAATTCGGCGGTATAAAACAAATAACTCCTATTGGATCCAGAGTTAAAGTTTTATTTGATTCTATCAAATCTGCCAATGCTTGCCTTAATTCTAATATACTCTCACGGTATCATCCGCCTGGATACCTCAACAACAGAGGAGGAAGTTTAGGAAGGTATCGAATCGCCGGTTCCTATTAGTGGTTTTCGTCGCATATTTACAAAACGTAATACTAATACCGCAACCCAAACTAATTTAGTAGAACTCAAGTTCCTTTCTTCAAAACTACCGGAAAAAATATCAACATTTAAAGTCATATTCACGGTTTCTCCTAGCATCCGTTCGCCTGTTATCTGTAATAAGTGTTTTCGCTACGGACACACAGCCAAATTTTTTAGAAGTAAGGCACGGTGTGCCTGTTGTGGTGCTAACGATCATATTGCCACTGATTGCCCTAATAAAGACAACTCTACCCCATCATGCTTACATTGCAAAGGATCCCATGAGGCTACAGATCGCTCATGTCCTGAATGGTCCCATCAAAAGGAGATTAAAAAAATCATGGCTGTTGAAAACATTTCGTACAACGATGCCATTTTTATATTTAAGAATAACATTGTTAATAAATCTAAAACTTTTTCTAATACTGTCTCAAGCAATGCAATTATTATAAATAACGCCAGTGATCCTCAAAAC